TAGTTATATCCAATTTCACACAGAGTCTTTGGAGCTCAGTTCATGCTGCTTCTGACATCAGTTCATGCTGCTAAGGAGATCAGAGCTGCGACATGTTTGCAGTTTCTGGTGTCTCCACATGCCGTTGTTTCATAGTCCTAGGGCCTGGGCCGCTGTGTACAGTACAACTAGACACTCTCCCTTTTTGAAGTAAGTCTCTTTCCTGACTCTGGGTTCATGTTTCCCATCAGTTAGATGCAATGGGGGTGGAGGGCGGGGCAGGGGATAGCTCTTGTTTTCATATGAGTAACAGCTATCATCTTCTACTTGTAGGTTGCAATGATGGAGGATGACTTCAGTTGTTCACCCCTTTTAACTGGAGTCCCTGAGACCTTGTAGGGTTCTAGTCTCTCTTTCCCAATGAGGTTTTATGATGTTGGAGATTTAGAAAGCCGAGACATAGGTTTTCAATCCATTCCTTCTTTTAGCGCTACCTCCCATTCCCTAAGATCATGGAATCTTCATTTATTTCAAAAGTCTTCTACCACAGTGCTGTTTTCTGCCTACTCTTGTGCATGCTCTCAGTAGAACTGTACTGGGATTTTATGGCTTGGTAAAGTTTTTGCTAGGGGAACCTTGTGCAAGATCAAATTTTGCCATTTGGTCCCATCCTTCAGAATAACTTTTAACACAACATTTAAGTAAAATCTATCATTTCATTAACCTACATTCGAGATGAAGTCTTTTTGACATTCCTGCTGTAAAGCTGTTATTTCACTTAAGATGGCCAAAGAACAGCAATAACAGTAATGAATTCTAACCAGAATCTAGTTTTCTTGATCCTTGGGCTTTCAGGTCAAGCTTTTCCTGGATTGTAACAAGATCATTTCTTCTCCTTCAACAGTTATGCAAAATCTTGAATTTATATTCTGATCAACAGCACATATCTGATTGCGTAACGTGCATTTTGACCTTATCAAAATGACATCTGTGCTCTCATTTTGTATGTGTTCCTTAAGAGAAGGGCCCAAAGTTACACTTTGTATCATTCACAAATTCTAGCCCTGTATCTTGTGCATTTAGGTAAAGGTAAAAGGTAAAGGCCCTCCCATTGATCGTCGATTTGCTCGAGCGGGCCCAGTAACGTCTCCATTGGAGACTTTGTTGTTACTGTGTTTGGCATATCGAATACTCTCGGTAGCTTGCCGGGCTCTCCGAGAGGGGTGGAGGAATCGAACTTGGGTCGGCCATGTTGGCCGCTTGTAAGGCGAACGCCCTACCCGCTGTGCTATCGCTCCAAAATTCCCTGAGTTATGCATTAAACAAGACCCATTTAAAAATACAGTTATCACATGGAGAGTATCATGCTAAGTGAAATGAGTCAGAAAGAGAGGGACAGACATAGAAGGGACAGATTGCACTCATTTGATGAGGCTGACACCTAAGGACACTAGATACATGGGACAGATAGATTGCTCCATAGCTGGAAGCCTGCCTCATGAGCAAAGGGGAGAAGGCAGCTGGAATAGAGAAGGGATCACTAAGAAAAAGATGGCTGGAGGAATCGGTCAGGATGAGAAATGCGTGAAGAAAGTAGATAAAAGACCAAACATGATAACCTCTTAGGATCTGTATTACAAACCATAATGCCCAAAAGTAGAGAGAGATTATGGGGAATCATATCTGCCAAGGAGGCAGAGGGAGGGTGGGAAAGGGGGGTTATACCAGGGATACTGGTGGTGGGGGATGTGCACTAGTGGGGGGATGGGTGTTTGATCATTGTGTGACTGTAACCAAACATGAAAGCTTATAACTATCCCACGGGGATTCAATAAAATTAAAAAAAAATACAGCAATCAGTGTGGCTGTGGAGAGAAAGAAACCCTCATCCACTGCTAGTGCAAATATCTCCTCTTTGGAAAACAATATGGACATTCTTTTTTCCTTGTTTTTTTTTGCGGGGGAGTCATACCCGGCGATGAACAAGGGTCACTCCTGGTTCATGCACTCAGGAATTACTCCTGGTGGTGTCCTGGGGACCAGATGAGATGCTGGGAATCAAATCCCAGTCAGCCGCACGCAAGGCATATGCCCTACCTGCTGTGCTATTGCTCTAGCCCCAGCAATATGGACATTTCTAGTTCTGCAGCACTGTCCTCCCGTTGTTCAAGGATTTGCTCGAGTGGGCACCAGTAACGTCTCCATTGTGAGATTTGTTACTGTTTTTGGCATATTGAATACGTCAAGGTTAGCTTGCCAGGCTTTGCCGTGCAGGCAAGATACTCTCGGTAGCTTGCCGGGCTCTCCGAGATGGGTGGAGGGATCAACCCGGAGTCAGCCCGGATCAGCTGCATGCAAGACAAGCACCCTACCCACTGTGCTATCACTCCAACCCGGACATTTCTAAAAAAATTAAAAACAGTTTTTATATGATCCATCATTTCCACTTCTCCACATCTACACCAAATGGCTCAAACACTATTTTGAAAAGATATTTGTATTCCTGTGTTCATATATATAAGTCAAGACCCAAGTGCCCAAGAACAAACGCCCAGTTAGACTGTTGTACACATACACAGTGGAGTACTACTTGGCTCTAAGAAAATATAAAATACAATTTTGCTACTACATAAATGAATCTGGAGTTTTATGTTCAATGAACTTAGCTGGAGAGACATAGATACAAGGTTCTCTCATATGTAGGATACAAAGAAACCTGATAATGAAATAACAAATCATCAAAGACAATAGAATCTTAGAATGGGTGTCCGGATTCGAGCTTACCAATGGAAATGTTGGGAGGTAATTGGTGAGGGATTTTGAGAAAATGGTGGAGGAGAGTGGAAAAGCTGATTGTTGGTGTGATGTGGGAATGGCGTTTGCATGAAATCCCACTATTAACACTATTGTAAATCATGGTGCTTCAACTGAAAAAATAAAGTACTACTAAATTCTACCTGCCTACATAATGAAATGCGTGCCACATGCCCTCAGTTAAAAATTGCAACACTGTATGTAAAAATAAATCCCAATTCAACTGAATATTTTAGGAAAAGCAAATTATTACGTGAGCAGATCGGCTGTCCAAATAACACGTATACTTAAAAATACAAAGGATAGTGTTTAGGTTTGAGGGTCAAAATCCTGAGAAATGATAACTTTTCTTATTGTTTTTTATTTCGAATCTACTGATCATATTTTGGATTGCTGTGATGCTCACAAATCAGAGTAGATTGCACATAAATGTAAAGGGAAGGAGATAAAATTAAAAGGAATAGGGAAAGCAGGAGAGTATTTTAGAATACAGAAATAAGATACCATCATTATGATAAAATATGTTTAAAGCTAATATCATACTTAATAAAGAAATACTGAATACTTTCTCCTTAAGGTCAGGCACAAAACAAGGATCGGTGCTCTTATCATTTTTACTCAACATTTTACGAGAGGTTCTGGCCAAACCAATCAAGCATTATAATGGATGAAAGTTGTTTGGTTTTTAAAACAGTAAAAAATTAACAAGATATTTCATACGTGAAAGAATAAATTTATATTCATATCTCCCATAATATGCATATATATGAAACAAATCCATTATTATGTATCAAATTCCTCAGGAAAAGCTTAAATAATAAAACTCTTGAAAGAAAATATAGGCATAAATCTTCAAGTCTTTGGATTAACTAAGTAGCAAAACACAAATAACTAAAGAAAAAAGAGATGATGGATTTAACCAGCCAAAATTTGAAACTTTTTATATTAAGAGATACTATCAAAGGCATTACCAAGAAAGTGCAAAGATACTTCACAGATGAAGGAATACATTTGAAAGGCATACATTTGATGTGTAATATTCACAACACAAAGAACTTCTATAATCTGACAATAACAAGAAAACAGTCAAATTAAAAAATGGGCAAAGATCTGAATAGACATTTTTCTAATAGACAGTCTGGCAGTTTCTTAAATGTTAATGTATATAATCCTGCAACTCCGCTCCGAGGTATTTATCCAATGGCAATAAGAATGTATGTCTACAAAAAAAAACTTTATACAAAAATGTTGATGGAAACACTATGTCTACTAGTCACAAAATGGAAGTAATTCAAACATTTATCGACTTATGAATGAATAAATTAAATGAGGTGTATTTACATAATGGAAAATTATTTGACAATAAACAGGAAAAGTATTTCTGCATGCTACAACATACATGCATCTTGAAAACATTATGTAAACTGGAAGAAGCACTCACAGAAGACCACATTGTTTATAATTCGATGTATATGAAAATATAGACTAGGAAAATCCAGATACTTGATAGACTCATAGTTGAAGGAGCTAAGTAGGGATTGTAGTAAAAGGGAAGTCACTGCTATAGGGCTTCTTTAAGACAAGATGAACTATTTTAAATTAATTGTGGTGGTGACTGCATAATTATAAATATATTTAAAAACTAGTAGGTTGCATACTTAAATTTGTACACTGGATGATACATCTCAATAAACTGACATTTAAAAAGAGATGTACAGATGCATATAATGGATATTTCAATTTTGGTGATCCAAGTTTGTTAATACTCTTCTTTTTCTATGTCTGTCACAACAATACGTGTATTCACTTAGCTGACTTATACTTGTATTTCCACAGCCACTGTCTTAACTTTATAATGTATTACAGACTAAATGTATTTAACAATGAGCAGCTTGCTTCCATCACATCTTCCTTTCAGAACATTTCATTTGAAATGAAAAAGTTAAAGAAGTAAAAACATTTATACTCTCTTTTTCTTCATTATAATAATATACTAACATCATAGCTCATTTTTTCTGATGACCAACAGCTTACTCTAAGATTTGTTACACTTGTTTTAATCCCTTTCATCATTACTGTCACAAATATAACAGTGTTCCACAGTGTGGAAACTCCATGATTTGGTTACTACTGAAAGTATAAATATTAACATCATAGTTACATCCATGACAACTGAGAGAACTTATGTCTCATTATTTTGTACCTACCCCTTTTGAATCAATCACTCCAGGTTTTGCATTGAACTTCACTGTCTTCAATCGGGCACGTTCCTTTCTTTCCACCCTAAAAATAAATAAATAAATAAATAAATAGTTGATCACATGACAAGGCTTTTATGATTAATATTTTAATTAAATTAAGATACATCTCCTTATATATCATATTTTTCTTATAGATCATATTTCACATATATCATATATAAAATATATATATTTATTAAATTAAGATGCATCTTATATATCATTTTTACATATATATCATGTTTGAAGTCTTAGTCTCAGGGTTGGAGATATTTAGAGTTCAAGGATTGGGGTACATGCCTACATGTATCAGGATCTGAGTTTGACCACCAGCCCCACATGGCTCCCCAAGCACTGTGGCAAACAGTCCCTGAGGCCTCTGAGCAGTGTGGCTGGGCCTGAGCTGAGCTTTATCCCAAGGCCTGGTTGGGACATCCCTGAAAATCACCCTGAGTTCCCTGAATGCTGTTTCGAAGGCCCAAACAAACAAATCCCAGAACATGTTTGTCTTGAATTAGTCAATACGCCCCGCCACCCCAAACTTGTTTTATGTAGTGAGAATCCATGTGCTTGGAAGAAATAAAAGAGTAATCTTTATATTAGTTAACTCAGTTCAAACTCAGTTCAATAATATGTGTTAAGTTAATAAGCCTGATTAAATCAGTCAAAATGTATTTCAAGAAATCAAGAAAATGTATTTCAAGAAGACCATAGAGATAAGCAACTACATTGGAGATTGAGCAAACTTCTCTTCCTTCCCCTGCTCTCTCCTCCCCTCTGCTCCCCTGCTCTCTCCTTTTCCCCTCTTCCCTCCTCCTTTTTTCTTCCCTTTACTGAGACTTGAGGAAGTAAAGGAGCCTTTCAGGAAAAGTTCAGGAGAATTTTCCTGCAGGAAAAACAGTTTGTCTGTGACCTAACTGGAAAAGTTGCAGGAACGTTCTGGTAATGGGTGTACATAGGATGAGGTGGGAGAGGTGATGGGGTCTCCCTATAAGCAGGGTTGATCCTTAGTAAGTCGTGAATTAGAAAATATAAAAAAGTAAGTGCAAGAACAAGTTATTAGCATTTAAATTAATGATTTTTCTTTCCACATTTTAAAAATTGAAGCACCATGATTTGCAGGTATTTATGGTTGAGTCTTAGATGTACAATTTTGAAGCACCAATCCCACCACCAGTGTCACCTTCCCTTCACTAGTGCTCCCAGGTTTCCTCCCATACCCCACCACATTTCCTCCCACCTGTCCTTTTGACAGTCACATAAGTTCTGTCGTTAAAGATGCTGACTCAAGATCGACTAGAAGAAATAAGGAATCAGGACGTCTATTTACTAAGAACTATTTGACAGTCCAAACAAGGGATGATGAGAAGTAATGGTGTGACAGAAGAGCAGGAAAAACCTGACAAAATTAGAAAGATAAAATTTGTAGGATCTGTGACTCTTTGAAGGCCGAAGTAAAGAAAGGAGAGGAATTTAGGGGCTAAGAGAGAGAGAGAGAGAGAAAAGTACTGTAGGTAAGATGCATGCCCTGCACACAACAAATCTAGGTTTGATCCCACAAATGGTCTGTAGCATCTCCCCCTTCCCCCCCGGAGTGATCCCTGAGTGAAGAACCAGGAGTAAGCTAAGCCCTGAGCACAGCTAGGTATGGGCTCCAAAAACAAGTAAGAGAGAAGAATCTAAAGGTACTCTCATGCATGCTGAAAATAGACTATAGACCGAACATGATAGCTGCAAACCACAGCACCCAAAAGGAGAGAGAGAATAAAAGGGAATGCCCTGCCGCAGGGGTGGGATGGGGGAGGGGGGTGGGGGGTGGGTGGGAGGGATGCTGGGAGCATTGGAGGTGAGGAATGGGCACCGGTGGAGGGATGGGTACTCAATCATTGTAGAACTGAAACCCAGGCACAAAAATGTGTAAGTCTACAACTGTACCTCAAGGTGTTTCACTAATAATAATAATAAAAAAATAAAGGTACTCTCATTTATATGAGCTTAGTCAGTATACATAATCAGTCATTCTTTAAGGTATACTTGCTCTCACTTAGATCTATATATTATTATTTATCTTGCTTTTCCCCTATTTTTTCCACATCAAATGCTGTCTCCTTGAAGGGCAACCAACTTATTACTCTAGAGTCTTACAGCAATTTTCCAATAAATAACTGTTAGACTAAAATAACAACATTTTTTGTATTACTTGAATAAGTTTTTATTTGCTTAAATATTGTTTGACTTAATATAAAAGATGGGGGAAAAAAGAGAAGAAAACACTGAAATCGACAGAAACTTAAATCTCAACTATTCATAGATCGGTAATTAACAGTGTACTCCTTTCTAACTGAGAGTTCTTTTGAGGCGAGCTGTAACACAGACATCAGGATTTCTATGGCTTCATAAGGGAGTTTCAGAATATAGTTATTTCAGTGTGAGAGTAGAATATTTTAGTGGAAACAGCTAAGAACCTTTTTTTCAAACTTAATCTTGGATATTAAGCAATATGGTGTATTGTGAGTTTCCACTTGCATCCAACATACATTCTACTTGCATCCAACTTACAACAGTTGGAAGAAGAGCAAGGAAGACTTTCGCAAAGGCAAGATTCCAAGTGGCAAGATGCACACTGAGAAAAATGTCTGTTTGGAGTTACTTTTTCTTTTTTTTCAATTTTAATCCTTGTGTACATGTTGATTTCTATTCATCTCTTTGCTTTTTTCTAAAACTGCTAACATAGTCCTCACTGTCTCAGCTCTTTTGCAGCAATCTAGAGAATTATGGAAAACATGAGTGTTTTTGATGTACTAACATGACTTGCCTGTAGAGAATGCATGATAATTTGATCAAGCTATTCAAACAAATTATGCATAAATTCGTGTAACTCATAAGGGCTTCAAACAGACAATAGCAGGATGAACACAGTAATATATTCTAAGAATCCCTTGAAGAAACATTCTAACTTTTTTCTTTGTGTAAACTCATCCTTTTGAAAAGTAAGAAATGTCCCTATTTGGTAATTTGTTTGTGGTCCATCTCTTAAAGATGAAAAAGGGTACAAAAAGGTTAAGGCAGATGGGTGGATACACAAACACAAATGCACATAGATCCTTTATTGGCTTTTATTTATTACTAACTTTCATAAAGGCAATAGAAAATATATTAAAGAAAATATCTGTGTAAACACAAAAGACAGCAGCAGTCTATCTCTCCCACCACCCGGTGTTCAGTGGTAGTCTCAGGCCATTTCCCCCACTCCAGGGAGGTCGATGGCAATGGGCAGGCGAAGGAAGGAAACAAGGGCCAGGCTGGTTGGTCTTAGTTGCAGTTAATTCCACTCTTCTCTCCATTCACTGCTGCCTCTCCTCTGCCTCCCCTAGCCCACTCTTACAGTCTCATTATATTCTCCAGTATAAGGGGTTGGTGTTGCGTGAACGTTTATTCAGTGGGAAGCACTGAGACAAGGAGCGTGAAAGAAATTTATGTCATGGAGGGCCCAGGTTCTCTCAGACCTGTGTTTCCTTAGAGAGCCCTGAAATCTCCTTTTATTGATCATGGTACCTCTAAAGGGTGCAAGGCAGTGATGTCATCAAAAAGAGTTACAGAAAGAACATTGAGGCAGCAAAACAGACATTGTTTCTTTGCATCTTCAGGCCAGTAATTTTTGCCTCTGGGAAGAAGATACAAAACCAAAACTGAAACCTCTATTGGGCTACATGCACTTGGATTTGCATCCCAAAGACTAGTCTGGCTAGAGCCTGGAATCTACATCCCAAAGATCAGGCCTGGCTAGCACATGAGGTCTGCATGTCAAAGACCAGCCAGGTCTGTGAGAAAAGGAAAACTGCCTCTTATGGTATATTGGTACTACATGGAAAGTATCATGCTAAGCGAAATGAGTCAGAAAGAGAGGCACAGACATAGAAAGAGGCACAGACATAGAAAGATTGCATTCATCTGGGGAACATAAAGTAACAAAATTAGAGACTAACACCCAAGAATAGCTGAGATAAATACCAGGAGGTTTACTCCATGGCTTGGAGGCCAGTTTCACACTCTAGGGGTAAAGACAGCTCAGATGGAGAAGGGAGCACCAAATGGGGGGGGTGTTGGGAGGATCCCCCCAGGATGGGAGAAGCATGCTGAAAGTAGACTCTAGACCGAACATGATTGCCACTCAATGCCTCTTTGCAAACCACAGCACCCAAAAGGAGAGAGAGAACAAAAGGGAGTGCCCTGCCACAGAGGCATGGTGGGATGGGGGTATGAGGGGAGTGGGAGGGATACCGGGAATAGTGGTGGTGGAGAATAGGCACTGGTGGAGGGATGGGTACTCGATCATTGTACAACGAAAACTCAAGCACAAAAATTTGTAAGTCTACAACTGTACCTCATGGTGTTTCACTAATAAAAAAAAGTCATAGTTAAAAAAGGGCTGGAGCGATAGCACAGTGGTAGGGCGTTTGCCTTGCATGCAGCCAACATGGTCGACCTGAGTTCGATTCCTCCGCCCCTCTCGGAGAGCCCGGCAAGCTACTGAGAGTATCTCACCCGCACGGCAGAGCCTGGCAAGCCGCCCATGATGTATTCAATATGCCAAACACAGTAACAACAAAGTCTCCAATGGAGACGTTACTGGGTCCGCTCGAGCAAATCAATGAACAATGGGAGGGCCTTTTTACCTTTTATGGTATACTGAAATTATTTACTGAAGGCAGTTTGAAGGGGAAAAATGTTCAGCCTATCCAAACTAGTCAGGACGCAGGAGAAATCTTGCCCATTTTCATGTGTCCCTATGTTCCTGCTGTGAGGAACAGGTCTAGATAGCTTTTTCAGATCCTCTTTACAGGAACCCACATTGCAGAATAACTTGTTTTTCTGCCCCTGATCAAGGAATTCAGATACAGGTGCCCCGAGTTGCAAGTCACGAGAAGGGTGGGGGTCAGACCAGATAGCCAGATGTCTTTCACAAGACCATGTCACAAGAATGTCCTGGTTTTTAGGGCAATCTTGGGTCTTGTGACATGGGCCTCTGGAGTCTCTTTGTTG